GGATTAATAACATGATCTGCGGGCCCCATAGGGAGGGGGCTCCCGCCTGAGACTTGCTTGCAATTCACTGACAAAGAGGCTCCCGCCTGATTCATCCTCCAAATTCAGACCCGAGGAGCTCAAAAGTGACGACAATTACAAGAATCCGATGACCCGCTTGGATTAATAACGTGATCTGCAGGCCCCATAGGGAGGGGGCTCCCGCTTGAGCGTTCCTCACAATTCACTCACAGACGAGGTTCCCGCTTGATACTTCCTCCAAATTCAGACCTGAGGATGGGCCCCATAGGGAGGGGGCTCCCGCCTGAGACTTCCTCACAATTCACTCACAGACGAGGCTCCCGCTTGATACTTCCTCCAAATTCAGACCTGAGGAGCCCAAAAGTGACGACAGTTACAGGAATCCGATGACCCGCTCGGATTAATAACATGATCTGCGGGCCCCATAGGGAGGGGGCTCCCGCCTGAGACTTCCTCACAATTCACTCACAGACGAAGTTTCCGCTTGATACTTCCTCCAAATTCAGACCTGAGGAACCCAAAAGTGACGACGGTTACGGGAATCCGATGACCCGCTCGGATTAGTAACATGATCTGCGGGCCCCATAGGGAGGGTCCCGCCTGACGCGTCTTCACAATTCACTCACAGACGAGGGTCCCGCTTGATACTTCTTCCAAATTCAAACCTGAGGAGCCCAAAAGTGACGACAATTACAAAAATCCGATGACCCGCTCGGATTAATAACATGATCTGCGGGCCCCATAGGGAGGGGGCTCCCGCCTGAGACTTGCTCGCGTTTCACTGACAAACGAAGCTCCCGCCTGATACTTCCTCCAAATTCAGACCTGAGGAACCCAAAAGTGACGACAGTTACAAGAATCCGATGACCCGCTCGGATTAGTAACATGATCTGCGGGCCCTACAGGGAGGGGGCTCCCGTCTGAGACTTCCTCGCAATTCACTCACAGACGAGGCTCCCGCTTGATATTTCCTCCAAATTCAAACCTGAGGAGCCCAAAAATGACGACAATTACAAGAATCCGATGGCCCGCTCGGATTAGTAACATGATCTGCAGGCCCCATAGGGAGGGGGCTCCCGCCTGAGACTTCCTCACAATTCACTCACAGACGAGGCTCCCTCTTGGTGGATGATGGTGATGGGATGATGACGACGGTGTTTGATGATGATATATGATTGATGATGATGATGCTGATGGTGGTGGTGGTGATGATGACGACGTGATGATGATGGTGGTGATGATGAGTACTCATGGTAACTGATCGTGCGATTATGATGGTAAATGGTGGTGATGATGACGGGGACGAAGTGGTGAGTCAGCGAATAGTGATGATTATGATGATGATGATGATGATGATCGTTCGATGCCGATGATGGTGAGTGATCGTGCGATGGTGATGGTGATGCTGTTGGTGATGATGATGATGATGAGTGGGGAGTGATGGTGATGGTGATGATGATGAGGAGGAAGCAAAGAGGAGCAGAGGAGAGGGAGGAGGACGAGAGATCCTGCGCGTAGGGCGCGCAGAGAAAATCACTCCGACGGAAAGACCCCACACGATAATCTCTTTAGCTTGCATGGGGGTATCCTCCTGCCCCTTCCCTTCTCCCACCTACTCTTGCCTCCTCGTTCTCCTCCTGTCTGCTCTTCCTCCTGCCTCAACCCCCGCCTCTTCCTCCTCTTCTTGCCTCCTCCACCTCCTCCCCCTCCCCCTCGTTATGCTTCCTCCCCCCCATTCCCCCTGCCCCTCCTGCCTCCTGCCTCCTCCTCCTGCTCTCCCTCTCCCTTCTCCTCCTCCTCCTCCTCCTCATCCCCTGTCCTCCTCCTCTCCCTCTCCCTCATCCGCTTCCCTCCTCCTCCTCCTCCTCCTCCTCCTCCTCCTCCTCCTCCTCCTCCTCCTCCTCCCCCTCCTCCTCCTCCTCCTCCCTCCTCCTCCTCCTCCCATATTCCTCCCCCCTCCTCCCCCCCCTCCTCCCCTCCTCCTCCTCCTCCTCCTCCTCCTCCTCCCCCTCCCCCCTCCTCCCCCCCCCCTCCTCCTCCTCCTCCTCCTCCTCCTCCTCCTCCTCCTCCTCCTGCCTCCTCCTTAGGCCTCCTGCCCCTTCCTGGGGCCTCCTGGGGCCTCTTGGGGCCTCCTGGAGCCTTCTGGGCCTTCCGGGACCTACTGGGGCCTCCTCGGGCATTCCTCCTCCTCCTTTTCCTCCTCGTCCTTCCTCCCCTCAGCCTTTTCCTCTTCCTGCTTTCCTGTCTCGTCCTGCATCATCCCTCCTCCTTTTCCTGGCAATCCTCCTCCTCCTCGTCCTCGTGCGGAACACGACCCAGAGGAAGCGCACGACGTGCGTCCCAGCCGATACGCGCCGGAGGACGACCCAAAGGAAGCGCGCGCCGGAGGATGACCCGGAGGAACCACGTGAGCTGCGGGACACATAGGAAGGCTCCCGCCTGACGCATCCTCACAATTCACTCACAGACGAGGGTCCCGCTTGATACTTCTTCCAAATTCAGACCTGAGGATCCCAAAAGTGACAATTACAAGAATCCGATGACCCGCTCGGATTAATAACATGATCTGCGGGCCCCATAGGGAAGGGGCTCCCGCCTGAGACTTGCTCGCAATTCACTGCCAAACTTCCTCCAAATTCAGACCTGAGGAGCCCAAAAGTGACGACCGTTACAAGAATCCGATGACCCGCTCGGATTAGTAACATGATCTGCGGGCCCTACAGGGAGGGGGCTCCCGCCTGAGATTTCCTCACAATTCACTCACAGACAAGGTTCCCGCTTGATACTTCCTCCAAATTCAAACCTGAGCATCCCAAAAGTGACGACAGTTACAGGAATCCGATGCCCCGCTCGGATTAATAACATGATCTGCGGGCCCCATAGGGAGGGGGCTCCCGCCTGAGACGTCCTCGCAATTCACTCACAGACGAAGCTCCCGCTTGATACTTCCTCCAAATTCAGACCTGAGGATCCCAAAAGTGACGACAGTTACAAGAATTCGATGACCCGCTCGGATTAGTAACATGATCTGCGGGCCCCATAGGGAGGAGGCTCCCGCCTGACGCGTCCTCACAATTCACTCACAGACGAGGGTCCCGCTTGATACTTCTTCCAAATTCAGACCTGAGGAGCCCAAAAGTGACGACAGTTACAGGAATCCGATGACCCGCTCGGATTAATAACATGATCTGCGGGCCCCATAGGGAGGGGGCTCCCGCCTGAGACTTGCTCGCAATTCACTGACAAACGAGGCTCCCGCCTGATACTTCCTCCAAATTCAGACCTGAGGAGCCCAAAAGTGACGACAGTTACAAGAATCCGATGACCCGCTCGGATTAGTAACATGATCTGCGGGCCCCATAGGGAGGGGGCTCCCGCCTGAGATTTCCTCGCAATTCACTCACAGACGAGGCTCCCGCTTGATACTTCCTCCAAATTCAGACCTGAGGAGCCCAAAAGTGACGACAGTTACAAGAATCCGATGACCCGCTCGGATTAGTAACATGATCTGCAGGCCCCATAGGGAGGGGGCTCCCGCCTGAGACTTCCTCACAATTCACTCACAGACGAGGCTCCCGCCTGATACTTCCTCCATATTCAGGCGTCAAGTCAGCGAGTAGTGATGATGATGATGATGATGTTGTTGTTGATGATGATGATGATGATGATGATGATGATGATGATGATGATGATGATCGTTCGATGCCGATGATGGTGAGTGATCGTGGGATGGTGATGGTGATGCTAATGGTGATGATGATGATGAGTGGGGAGTGATGGTGATGGTGATGATGATGCGGAGGAGGAAGCAAAGAGGAGCAGAGGAGAGGGAGGAGGACGAGAGATCCTGCGCCGAGGGTGTGCAGAGAAAACAAGAACCCCACTTAGGATGTGGGGAACAAGAACCCCACTTAGGATGTGGGGAAAAAACGAAATTCAAAACCAAACAAAAAATACAGAAAACGTGCCTGAACTATTGTTTGCGTATTATTGAATATTCCCACTGTAGGGGGACAGGCCCGACTTAACACTTAAACAAACAAAACCGTGACAAAACCACACTTTGAAAAGGACCCGCCCTCCATCCGTGAAACTGCTGCAAACGTTGAAGACGAATGCGCGCGGCACGACGGCGAAAACCACATTCTGAAATGAGCCCGCCCTTCATCCGAGAAGCTGCTGTAAACCTCTACGGCGTGTGAGGCGCTGAGGCGAGAACCGCACTTTGGAAACCACCCGCCCTCGATACGAAAAGCTGCTGCAACTTTTATGACGTGCGCGGCGCTAGGGCGAGAGCCACATGTTGAGAAGAAACCGCCCTCCACCGGTGAAAACGCTGCGAACTTGTATGACGAATGTGCGCGGCGCCACTGCCAGGGGCGGGAAGCGATTCATTATCGCCGGAGAGGGGGAGGGGGGAGGCTTCGATAATTGTTAACCAATGGTAAAGCGACGCCCCAGCCGCGGGTGAAATCTGAAAACGTGGAGCCCAGGAAAGTCCCAATACTACCCGCAGAAGGCCGGCTGCCCAACACCTGACTTCCACACCCGAAAACAGGGACTTGTATGCCCATTTGCCCAGGGGCCCGACATGACCCCCCGCCATCAAATCAAGGCAGAGCATTGATGACATCGGAATGGAGCTACTAGGGGATCTCTGCAAGGCCAGCCGACATACAGACGACGCAACGGGGCCGCACCCTCACCAAAGCGCTCTGGAACGATCTGAAGGTATTCCAGAAAGCAATGGATCGAGTCATCGACATCCCGGGGCTACCCCACACCCTACAAGGCCAAATGATTCGTGAGCTTGTCACTCAGGCAATCGACCAGCTCAATTCCATGCCGGCGTGGCAAAAGCAACTTCTTGGCGCTGTGTGGGTCCTCTGAAAATCATCCGATCGGAACGTCGTGACAACCTGTCGAAATACGATCCCTGCACCCGCTCATCCTCATCGTATCCTCTTCGCCCAGGATGCCCGTTCCCTGGGAGGTCCAAGAGGTAGCGCCACTCAGGCCACCTGTCCAGCGGCACGAAGTTCTCGTCGGATCCAACCACGGTCGAATTGAGGAGGTCATCTTCAAGAAAGGCCAAGTCGAACATACCATCTGCGTCGCTCCACGAGTCCAGAAAGCGCTTCCGAGGAGAGCCGCGATACACGCGCTGGCTGATTGAAATGTCAGCGGTGCAGTCATCGGCCTGACCTAAGGAATGATATATAAGGAACGAAGACCCTTTTTCTCCAAGTAAGTCGACGAAGCCCGAAGGAACGACCGACCCGTGCGTCCAAAATCTGAACACCAAGGAGGCTCGCCGCAACAAAAAGGTAGCGGAACGGATGCAACCCTAAGGAACGACCGAGGCCCTTTTGAAAAGCAAGTGTTCCTTGTTCAAGCCGCTGACTGTATCCCCAAAAGACCCATGGCCAGGAGAGAGAGAGTCCGCTGGGGGGGGGGGTAGGCAAGAAATGCCCTCTCTGCTCACGTGCGGGCCGCATCGCAAGGATGCTGATGGAGAGACAGGCAATGCTAGCATTGTGGATGCCATGGCAATGAACACTCTAACAATCTGGTCATTGAGTTGAACATGCGTTTCAAATGTGAAAAAACATGTGCTACAAATGTACCAAGCCTGTCTTTACATGTTCAAAACATGTTTTAGATATCTGGATAAATATGTGGCAGCATGCTTCCCCTCCAGCAATCGACTTCCACAAGGCTAAGGAAGAAGCGCCCTCTCTTCTCACGTGCGCGCCGCATCGCAAGGATGCTTACGGAGAGATACGCAATGCTAACAATTGAGCAGGGACCGACCGTCCGGGCATTCCTTTAGTCCTACCACGAGATGTACTTAGAACCCAGAAATGTTCTAAGACAAAAAGTTATGATAACATAAACCCGATGTAGTATAACAAGACAGTCCAAACCAGAAATGTCCTAAGAACATTTCGTGGGAACCACAAAAGGTTATTAGAACATTGTTTGGTAGGACTATAGGCATACCAGGACACCAGGACGCTTCGCCACTGCTTGAAACAGGTCCGTCTCGCCCTACCCGTGGCCCCAAGCGCCGCTCGGGCTGCCCCTGCATGTCAATCCGCCGATATCCCGGAGCTCCACGGCCCAGTTGACAGCGCCCCTGTCCGTGCCTCTCCAAAAACCCTCTCTTGCCTTCTGCTCCCAGGGCACCGATGGCATGGCGGACATGTTGACGAGAGCTGGGCGGCACACGTTCGGGAACAGGATGTCCCAGAAGTCATCCGAGGCGCAAATACTGAATAAAGGTGCTGGAATACGTGAGTCCTTGTCAGTCGGTCCGTAAAACGGTGGGTGATCTGCATACTTCCTCAGAACAGGCAAGTCCCCATGATTCAAAACCAAATCGAAGTTGGCCAAGTTCACCTTAGAGAGCAGCGAGAGGATGGCACCCGCTAGGCATGTTGGCTCAGTAGCTCCAAATTCTGCCTCGAGGTGCGAATGTTGAGGAATGATTAGGATTAGCTCGTCGTCGATTAGGCGAAACAAAATTGTCTTTTGGTCGGCGACAGGCTGAAATGCTCGCGTTACATCCTCCAAGTGTATGCCTCTTGCAGACCAAACTTGAAGATCCCGCTGGATGGGTGCAAATGGATTGCATTGTCCACGTGGAGTTCGTGATATCCGCACGATGCAATCGTCGTCAACATGTTCTGAGAGAATTGCCGATTGTTCAACACCGAAGGACAACTGGAAAGCTGCAGCCACCCGTGACATAATACGCAATAATGGGTGTGCCGATGCCATGATGATGAAGAACATATCTTCAAAGTCAACCTGCCGCGACGCCACCTTCAGCAACGCATCGGACTCTGCGTCAAAGACTGGCAAGCGCTGCAGGGAGATCGACACTATCGCGGCCGCAACTGTGAGGGGGCAGGCCTTCTGGGAATCAGGACAAAACACAAGAGCCTCTCACCCCCATCCCTCCCCTCCCCCTGCAGACAGCAAGGGAAAGACGACGGAGAGAAAAGGAGAGAAGATTTGCAGAACTGCCGGAAGACGGATGGTACGAGGGGGTCCTGGCCAAAAAAATGGTCCTTGTCCCTGGAGCCTGAGCACGTTGTCTACAGTCCTGGGGCCCTGAGAGGGCCCAAAGAACCCGAATACGACGGAAACCTTCCAGGAACCGCGCTCCTGCATTCTGAAGACTCGGAGCCTCCGCCCCGGTCGTTGCCAAGTACTCGAGACTCCGAGCGGCCAAGCCAGCAGGCCCCTGGCGGTCCGGCCAGTCTGCCAACGCGACCGCGTAGGGGTCCTCAGCCCAGGCTGAGCACACCACGGCCGCACGCGTCTCGCCGTTTGCAGGTTCACCTGGAATTGCAGGAAACTGCATCAATAAAACCGACCGAAGGATCCCGCGGGGGCTTCCGAAAGCTTCGGTCTATGATACGCGGACAACACTTGCTGAGCGCTGAGCGCTTCCCCTGCAACATCAGAAAAAAACACAACCGGAACCCTAGACCCCATCTTTCTGCACCATTGTGAGGGTCCCAGGGCCCGAAGCGAGGCGAGAATGCCCAGATCGAAAAAATCAGACGCCAGGATCTCAGGGTCACGGTCATTATCGGCATCGTCATCATCCAGTCCTGCTCCCTTAGCACCGCTGGCTCGCGCGAGTCCGCCCTGGAGATCTCGCAGCAGCTGGAGAACAGGCCAGCCCGAGCGGATGACGGCGCCCCAGCCAAGTTCTGCGAGGGCGTGCCAGTCGCCGAAGAGCAGGTCCGACGACCCCGGCGCAGAGAGGGAGCCCGCGTCCCGCAGCAGGGTCGCCAGCCGCAACCTGAGCAGAGGCTGGCTCAGGGATCCAAGACCCCCAACATATCGAAGAAATCAAGACAAAGGCTTTCTCACCGCTTTTGGCCTCCGGAATCCCTCGCCGGGCCCCAGGACCGTGAACATAAACGAGTCCGGACGAACAGCTGGTCCCGGGCAAGGGGTCAAGACTTCCAGGGGCCCTGGCATTGAAACAATGAGGGCGACTGACCTCTGGGATCAGCTCGTGGTACGGCTTCGCGGGCGCGATTGAAAACACTTCGTGACAGGACATTTCGCCGTGGTGTGCGCAGTAGGACACGGCGACCCTCCGTTGTGGCGTAGGAACGCCGCCAGCGCTGCAGCTCACAACGAATCGAGGGCGCTAGTGTGCGAACTTACGCGGAGGGTCATTCAGCTGGCCAGCTCAAAGAAGAACCTCAGCGCAAGCCAGATCAAGGGGTGAGCTGCACGCGGCTGGATTGGCACCATGGAAGCACCAGGGCCGATGCTGAGTACTAAGTATGCCAGTTGGAGGCGGCTGTAGGGTCTGAACTGGATGGGCCCCGAAAAGATCTGTCAAAACGGACGGATAAGGACAAGTCCGCTCGGAATCGCTCCCTGAACCCTGGACCCCTCCCAAGGGGCCACCTGGTGCAGTTTTTCGCCGCAGGTCCGTTTGTGTTGACGGTCCTGGGGCCGGAAGACGGCCCACGAGGCCGAAAAAGACACAAAAAAAAATCCCCGAACCCAGCATTTCGAACCTCGTAAGGAGCCGAACTCAATACACCGACGCGTCTGCCGGCCCCGCACTGAATTTCGCACACGAAAGCGGCTCCTGGTGTATACGGGATCCTAGTGTATACATTTTTCATAGTTTCCCTAGGACAACGGGGAAATAAGTATACACCACATCATCCCGACGTCGTCCCCGACCCTCAAAAAGTTCTGGGATTGAAACAACCAGCCAATGGTAATGTATCGGAGGTGAGGGGGTGAGATGGAAATGGAACGGAGAGCCCCCCTACCGGGAAATCGGTTTCGGTTTCGTGTTCGTGCGTGCCGTGCGTGCGGGCGAGGCGAAGCTGCGTGGGCGGGCGAGAAAAAAGTCTCCTCCGGCTGAGGCGCGGCCGGACTAAATGTTTCCTCTCCGGGGGCCGGTGGCCCGTGGTGTCCCGCCAGTGTCCCGCCTCCGGCTGAGGCGCGGCCAAACCAAATGTTTCCTGTCCGGGGGCCGGTGGCGCGCGGTGTCCCACGGTGTCCCGATGATGATGATGATGATGATGATGATGATGATGATGATGATGATGATGATATCAATGATATTGTTGATGATAATGATGATGATGATGATGGTGATGGTGGTGATGATGATGGTGTCCCGATGATGATATTGATGATGATGTTGCTGATGATGATGGTGTCCCGATGAAGATGATGATGTCGATGATCCTGATGATGTTGGTAATGAGATGGTGATGATGAATATGATGATGATGGTGTCCCGATGATGATGATAAGGTTGATGCTGATGCTGTTGATGATAATGGTGTGATGATGGTGGTGCCCCGATGATGTTGAAGTTGATGATGATGATGATGATGATAATGGTGTCCCGATGATGATGATGATTATATTGTTAATGATGAGGATGATGATGAGGTGATGGTGATGAGTTTGATCATGGTGGCCCGATGATGGTGATGACAATGATGCTGATGTTGATGATGATGATGATGGTGCCCCGATGATGATGATGATGACAGTGATGATGATGGTAACGATGATGATGGTGTCCCGATGATGATGATGTTGATGATGATGATGTTGCTGATGATGAAGATGGTGTCCCGATGATGCTGTTGAAAATGCTGTTCATGATGATGATGAGATGATGATGATGATGATGATGATGATGATGATGATGATGATGATGATGATGATGATGATGATGGTGTGATGATGATGATGGTGTCCCGATGTTGGTGATGATGTTGTTGGTACTGATGGTTACGATGATGGTGTCCCGATGATGATGATGATGATGATGATGATGATGATGATGATGATGATGATGATGATGATGATGATGTAGATGGTGATGATGATGAGGTGATGATAATGATGATAATGATGATGGTGTCCCGATGATGATGATGATGATGATGATGATGATGATGATGATGATGATGAGAATGAGGATGATGATGTTGGTGACGTTGATCATGATGATGATGTTGTTGACGATGACGACGATGATGATGATGACATTGATTGTGATATCGATTGTGATATCGATAGTGAGGTCGATAGTGAGACCGAATGTGATATCGATTGTGAGATCGATAGTGAGATCGATAGTGAGATCGATTGTGAGATCGATCGTCAGATCGATTGTGAGATCGATCGAATGAAATAGATCGAGTGAGATCGATTGTGAGATCGATCGAGTGAGATCGATCGAGCGAGACCGACAGTGAGATCGATAGTGAGACCGATCGAGTGAGACGTTGGTTCCTCCTCCCCCCCCCGAACCTCCTTATCACCCGAAGGGTGGTTGTATAGGTATGCTCCAATTTCCGACCTCGCCCACACCCGTTTCCTGCAAGCCTGAAGCAGTGCTGCGCATCCTCAGACCCCGAGCCGGCTAAAAAAATATCATGAGCTGCATCCTGAACCAGAGGCGCGACAGACAGCGTGCTTCGTGACGATCACGCGCTACTGGGGAAACCTCCGCGGCAACTGACCGAGGCCTGGAAGACAGAATAGCAGGCCCACAAAAGACCCCCGAAGGTCCAGACTACGCACACAAGAGGCACCCACGAAGCCCCAGGAGGTCCCCAAATGGCGCCAAAAGGGCCCCAAAGGGCCTCTCCAGAGATCCTATGATGCCTCCAAAAAGGCGTTTTGTCCACGACCCACTTTGTCCCCAAGAGTGCCCTCAGAAGTCATCGAGAGTCCTCCTCCTGGTCCTCCTCCTCCTCGCTCGCCACGCGCACGCAAATTGAGCAACAAGAGTGCGACATGGGCCGGCGGATTTGGCGAAGAAATTGAACACATACGGGGAGGCCTCCGCGGCAATTGGCCGAGGCCGAGAAGACATAATACAAAACGGGGACGCCCAAATGAGACCACGGAATGCTGCTACGCGCTCGATCTCAGAACAACATAATGTACAGATACCGCTGCCCTCGCCTCGTTCGCACCTTTTCGGAGCATCTCCCTAGGGCCTAGGGAACCCTTGTCGCCATCGGTCGATTCGCCTCGTAAGCTTGGTCAGAAGGCACCCTGGGAGGCAGCGGTGTCGGCAACTGATGCCCCACTCGCCGCCCACGTGTACACAATACCATCCCCAAACACTATTAGCACCTAGGCTGGGTAGTCGAAGCCAATCTGGCGCCAATCTGGCCGGCCCAATCTGGCAAGCGGGGGCAATCTGGCGAGGGAGCCAACGCGAATCCAGCCTGGCGGATACCCCAAATCCTCCAGTCTGGCCGGGCCAGATTGGCCCTTGGGGCCCCATCCAATCTGACAGTCTGGCCTTCGACTACCCAGCTAGGGGGTCCGACTGATTGTTTTTCCTCGAAAACAAATTGGGCCTGCCTGGCGGTCTGGCGAATCCGTGGTCGCCGTCGCCGCCCCGTCGCCCTCCCGTTCCCGCCGAGTCGCCCGCCCGTTACCGCCGAGTCGCCGCCCGTCGTCCTGGTTGTCTGGCGTTCTGGCGGCTCCGTGGTCGCCGTCACCTGCGGGCAGTACTTATATCCATATCCAGAGCGTCGTGGACTTTTTGGGAAGAGGTGCCGCAACGCCGAGGTGCACTGGATATGGATAAAATCAAGCCTCTTGGGACAAGATTTTTATCCATATCCAGTGCGTCTACGGTTTCTGGGGAAGAGAGCCCAATAATCCAAGACGCACTGGATGTGGATATAACTATTGCCCGCATCACCGCCCTGCCGACGCCTGGTCGCCGCCCGTCGTCTGGGCCCTTCTGGCGGCTCCGGGGTCGCCGTCGCCGGCACATCGCCGCAACGAATCTCCTTCTTGGAACAAAATTGCAGTCGATCCCCCCTGGGATTATCCGCCCCCCCGGTGGATCTGCAATTTGCAGACGGCTCTGCCTAATCGTTCGTTTTACGTGTGAAACCAGACCATCCCAGTCAGGCTATGATCGACCCCCCCAAACACAACCTATGCCCGCACACGTCGTCATCTTCAGAATTTGTTAAAACATAGTTTTCTGCACATGCGCGCATCGTCGCACGCACATCCCGAAATGAACAACGTTGGTGTCGGGTGCCGGAAGGATTTCCAATTCGATCGCCCCAAACCATGTTAAAAAAAACCCAACGGCTTCGCAACGGGAGTGTAAACAACATGTGTTCGCGCTCGTGCGAAGTCTTCGGTTATTGAACATGTTGCACCATGTACATGTTCATCTGATGGACGAAGCACGTCGTTCGCGAGCGCATACCGCAATCGCGCGAACGCCTTTTGCACGCGCGCTGTCGCGAAAATCCCTGGCAAGACAAACGGGCGAAAAACGCACACGCGCGCGCGCGTCGCTCGCGTATGCTGAAATCCGTCAGGAACCTTCGTTCTCGTATAGGGTTTTAAATTCGAGTACCCCAAACACATAAACAACACTCTCGCAACAAAAATGTTAAACTGAAGAATGCGCTCGTGAATTTGCGGCTGCTTGAAAAAACCTTGCTGGAAACTCAAAATGTTTACAAAACATCGACCATACGGGCCCTTCGCGCCGCCTGCCGAACACAAGCAAACTCGCGCTGGCAAGGAAGACGCGTTCCCTGCCCAGTCAAACCATGCGGGCCGCCCGCGCGCGTCGGCCGCGCGCGCACGTCAAAATCCTTCCAACGCGTTTCACCACCGACGCGAGGACACCAACATTGTCATCGGCGTGATCAGCATCGGCGCCGTCGTTTCCGATGGTGTCGCCGTTGCCATCATCGCCAACAAGATTGCTACGATCATCATCGTGTTTGCCCGTGCCAACGTCGCCCAGCG